ATAAGTTAGAACCCTTCTTCAACTTGGTGAAAAAAGCCACAGACTTTCTGTGGACAGAAGAATGCGAAGCCGCTTTAACCGACCTAAAGAAGTACTTGACCACAACTCCGGTTCTTTCCAATCCAGAACCAGGGGAAGAACTGTTTTTGTACTTGGCAGTTTCAGAACACGCAGTAAGTGCAGTTCTAATCCGAGAAGAAAAAGGGGAGCAAAAGGCTGTTTATTATGTTAGTAAAACCTTGGTCGATGCAGAAACAAGGTATCAACCACTGGAGAAATTAATGCTAGCCTTGGTAATGGCTTCAAAGAAGTTGAACCATTACTTTCAGGCGCACAAGATTGTGGTCCTAATAGAGCACCCACTGAAGTGCTTGTTGCAACAAGGAGACTTAACAGGAAGGATAGCAAGATGGGCAGTAGCCCTGGGCCGGTATGACCTGGAGTTCAGGCCAAGAACAGCAATTAAAGGCCAAGTTTTGGCCGACTTCATGGCAAAATTCACACCCGAAACCATCGAACATCGGGCTCCGTTGAGCCAGGATGAGCATTGTCCCAACAAGCAAAAAGAATCCCAGCCTAGGGCAAAAGAACAAAGAAAGGAAAAACTCAAACTCTGCAGCATCTACATCGGCGATTCATTCAGACTGTTCGTCGATGGAAGTTCGAACCGACAAGGAGCGGGGGCAGGAGTACTGCTGATATCTCCAGATGGAGAAATAATAGAACAGTCCATCCGTTTGGGGTTCAAGGCCTCAAACAATGAAGCGGAATACGAAGAATTAATTGCAGGGCTAAAACTGGCAACAGCAGCAGAAGCAGATGAGGTAATAGTTTTTTGTGATTCACAACTTATTGTTAACCAGTCCACAAGTGAATTTGCTGCCAGGAACGAAAGGATGTCGGCATATGCAAAAGAGGTCATCAGATTGGCAGCCCTATTTCAAAATTGCCGACTACTCCAAGTTAGCCGAGATGACAACACCCACGCCGACGCGTTGGCGTACCTGGCAAGTTCAATGCAGACTGGAAAAACAAGGACAATTATGATCGACTATATGTCGGGCCCGAGCATAGAACCAAAGAGCATAGAACAGGAAGCAATGTGTGTGGACATGGGGCCAAGCTGGATGGATGCAATTGTTGCATTCCTGAAAGAAGGAAAGCTGCCAGAAGATCGTAAAGAGGCACAAAAAGCCAGACTGAAATCAGCAAGATTCTGTCTAACAGAAGATGGACACCTCTACAGAAGGTCCTTCACTGGACCACTTTTAAGGTGCGTACACCCTTTGCAGGTTGAAGATTTCCTGTATGAAATTCATGAAGGAACTTGTGGAAGCCATGCTGGGGGCAAATCATTAGCCCACAGGGCCATTACCCAGGGGTATTGGTGGCTCTACATGCAGAAGGATGCTGAAGCCTACGTAAAGAAGTGTGAACAATGCCAAAAGTTTGCACCTTTGATACATCAGCCAGTTGTTGACCTAAACCCAGTATCCAGCCCTTGGCCGTTTGCCCAATGGGGCATGGATCTGGTTGGGAAACTTCCCCAGGCAACTGGGCAGAGAAAATACTTGCTGGTGGCCACAGATTACTTTACAAAGTGGATAGAGGCAGAACCTCTTACCAAAATCCGAGATGTGGACGTCAAGAACTTTATATGGAGAAACATCATCAACAGATTTGGGATTTCAAGAGCAATAGTTGCCGACAACGGAACACAGTTTGACAGCAAACTCATCAAAAACTTTTGTGCGAAATTCAAGATCAAGAACTACTTTTCAACACCAAGTTTTCCCCAAAGCAATGGGCAAGCAGAAGCATCCAACAAAGTAATTTTGGATGGAATAAAGAAGAGGCTGCAGGCAGCAAAAGGAAAGTGGGTAGACGAGTTGCCCAACGTACTTTGGGCATATCGGACTACGCCGAGAAGATCAACAGGGGAATCCCCCTTTGCCATGGCTTATGGCGCAGAAGCAGTCATCCTATTGGAGATTGGCATCCCAGGGATCAGAACCCAGAGAGTAAAGAATGGCACCAATGACATAATCTTAGCCCGAGATCTGGATATTTTGGAAGAACGAAGAGAGAAAGCCGCAATTCAGCTTGTAGTATACCAGCAACAGCTTGCCAGAGCTTACAACAAGAAGGTCAATCCAAGAGATTTTCAAGTCGGCGACCTAGTCCTGAGAAAAGTCATCGGCAACAAGAAAGATCCCAGAGAGGGCAAGCTTGGCCCAAACTGGGAAGGACCCTACAGAATTACTTCGGTATTAGGCAATGGAGCTTATCGGCTTGAAGATAACGAGGGCAAAGCACTACTAAGACCTTGGAATACTTGTAATTTAAAATTCTTCTATCATTAGATGTGCAGTATTTTTGGCCGATGTCATCAATAAAATCTTTTCCCTTTTCTTTAAAACACATATGATGGATAAAGTTACATATTGGTGTTTTTGGAGATGAATAATGAGAACCCAAGAAGAACTCAGGTTCACATTAGGGGCAAAGAGAAGACAGAGACACTTAATTCACTTGTTGAAATTTGTAGCAATTTACAAGTTGAAATTAAGCTGATTCCTTATCTTCACTTGTTGAAATTTGTAGCAATTTACAACTCGAAGTTAAGCCGAGATTATTCCTCAATTCGCTTGTTGAAATTTGTAGCAATTTACAAGTTAGAATTAAGCTGATTCCTTATCTTCACTTGTTGAAATTTGTAGCAATTTACAAGTCGAAGTTAAGCCGAGATTATTCCTTAATTCGCTTGTTGAAATTTGTAGCAACTTACAAGTTGGAATTAAGCTGATTCCTTATCTTCACTTGTTGAAATTTGTAGCAATTTACAAGTCAAAATTAAGCCGAGATTACTGGTTCTCTTCACTTGTTGAAATTTGTAGCAATTTACGAGCCGAAGTGAAACCGAGGTTATAGTTTACACACTTATAGAAATCTACAGGTTGATCCAACCAAAGAAGATGCTTAACACTTGTTGAATTTTGTAGCAATTTACAAGATAATGTTAAACCGACATGTGATCATCTGTTGAAATTTGCAGTAATTTACAGGTTAAGGTAAAAGCTAAGTATATTGCTTAAACATTTGTTGAAATTTGTAGCAATTTACAAGTAGATCATTGTTATAACTTGAGAAAAAATTACAGTATGTATTAACACTTGTTGAAATTTGCAGCAATTTACAAGTAGGATTAGACCGAGATCACTATTTAAATACTTGTTGAAACTTGGGAAAAAGTTTGCAAAATTGACATTGAATAGTATATGTTTTACACTTGTTGGAACTTATGAAAAGTTTGCAGGTCAATATCTTGCCGAAGTAAAGACTTGTAGTTATTAAACCCGAGATATGTAATCCTGAGAAGATTGCACAAAAATGGCAAGATATGAAGGACATGCAAAGTATTCTAAGTATAGAACTATGCAGAAGCAACCAAAGAAAAGACAAAGATTCAAGCATTCAAGCATTAAGAAAAGGAAAACTGAGATAACATTTACAAAGCTGGGAGGCACATCGGCCATGCAAAAGCTTACATTGTTCAGAAAAAGATAAAGGAAAAACAAAACACAAAACTAAGGGTCTTCTCCTCCGGATTGTTGAATTTGGAGATCTGATACAACCTCGGCCTCCTTCTCTGCTGCTATTTCGGCGTCAATTTCCTGAAGAGTTTGTTCAACAGTCTTAACCTCGGAAGGGATGTCGGCTGGAACAGTGTCAGGAACAGCTTCAGGGATAACCTCATCACCTTCTTCATCTTGAGTCAGGTCAAGGACTTGTTCATTCAGAAGAGAGGACTTAGCCCCATCAGCATCCCTTGATTTTCTGACCAAGGCCTCATCCTCTTCCTCATCGGCATCTTCAGACTCAGATTCAGATCCTCCTTCGGGTTGACTTGATGGAGGAGGTGGGGGGAATGACAGAGGAATAGCATCCAGCAGGAAGATCAAGTTTTTTTATCAAGGACATCCAACCAAGGGAGAAGCCCCTGTTGCATGCCTGCCTAACCTGAAGTTTATACTCCTCGGTAACATCGGCCATACCCTGGGCATAGGCCTTTTCGTCGACCGCCTTGATTTCGGCATCCTTAGTAAATAAAGCATCTTGAAATTCCTTTTCCGCTTGGGCCTTTTTGTCCTCGGCCTCTTTCTTCTCGGCTTCGGCGACCTTCTTAATTGCCTCGGTGGCTTCAGCTTTTTCCTCGGCTAGACTTCGGGCTTTAGTGGCGGCCTCAGCTTGGTCCTCCAGTTTTTTCATTTTTGACTGAAGAGTTTTGCTCTCATTTTTAAGAGCAGAAACCTCCCTCTTCATGTCGGCCAACCTCTCCCTCGTTTCAAAAGCATGCATGGAGAGGGAGTGGGCATGTTGGATAGCCTGAAAGAACACAAGGCACAAGTTATTACGAAATTTTACAAATTAAGAAAGAGAACAGATTACAAACACAAAGGCACTTACTTGGACAGAGTGTTGCAGCATAAAGGCGTAGTTCTCATACTCACTCATCTTGGCATTTCGCTCAAGATCTCCTGGGAAGAGTAGAGCAGTACTTAGGGCCACGCCGACATTTACATCATCAGCACTGTCGCTGGCTAGGATTGGCTTATCTTCTAGAGTAATCTCTGGTCTCCAAGGGACTTTTGGTATTCTGGAACCCAAGGTCGTCGCAGACGATGACCTCGGCTTCTTTGATTGAGTGGATTCTGATGGCTGGGCCTTAGCAGACCTTTTTGCAGAAATAGAAGCAGATTTTTTACTCTCTGCCAACTGTGAGATGGGCAGAGCATCCTCAGCCTCAACCTCAGTAGCTTTGGCCTTAGGCTGAGCCTTTTTGATTCTCTTCGGCTTTGGTGGGGGCATGGTTTGCGTCGGTTGAGCGTCAATATCCGTGGGAAGATCGGCCAGGAGATCTTGGGCAACAGGCTTCGAGCGACCCATCTCAACAGTTTTGATGAGTCGTCGCCGACGTTTTCTTTCTGGTATTGGGATTAAGTATGGGGCTGAAGTTGATGGTTGGTCGGCTGGATCAGAGGTTGACCCTTGGTCAGCCCGAGATGTTGATGCTATTTGCAGAGTGGTAGCAGAGGGAGGAGATAGGCTCTTCTTCTTTCTTTTTGGGACGTCGGGCAATGTGGATTTGTATGTCGGTATAAAATTCAGTAACAGGGGAGCTTTGCGCTTGTGGATTGGAAGATCTGGGAGCTTCTTCAAATCTTTTCCTGGGAAGAAGGATTGGCGGAAGTTTTTTGGTGGCTGATGAAGATCTGCAGGACAAACAAACAGACATTAGAAACAGACAAAGTTTTGAAGACTTAGGAAAAAATAACTAAGTATTGACGCTGGGCTCTTACCCTTGCCCTCTTTAACTGTTCGAGGAAGAGGGTAGAGGTGAACATCTTCGTCTGGACCAAATTCCCAATTTCCCGAAGCAATGACAAAGTCATCCCTGGCTCCCTTGTTGGAGTCCGGGAGGTTGGCTACAATTTTGAATTCAGTAGACCTCGGCTTGAGGTAGTAGATGTAACCTTTTTCCTTCAAGTTAAGGGGGCACATGGTATAACAATATTGTACATCGGCAAGGGTGATCCTAACATTCTCCTGCCTAGCTAGGGCTATGATACCATTGATCACTCGATAAGAGTTTATGGCAAGTTGCATAGGGTTCAACTTGTAAAAATGAAGAATTTCACGAAAAAGAATGTTAAGTAGGAGCCGGAGTCCGCACTCAGTAAAGGCTACTATAGGAAAGGGCATTGAATCATCTGTGGGCATGATAGAGTCACTATCTTCAGCTAGCCTCAGATAGACATTGGCAGGAATAGAGAACTCCCGCCTAAAGTACTCGAGTTTGGTTGGGGTATCTACCCTATGTCTTCACATACCCATAACGTCGGCCTAAAAACAGAGGGCTAGGTTTCAGAAAGAAAGGTGTTCTTAAGGGGTTATCCGGACCTCGGCGAAACCCTAGGTATATGCTGGTAAGGATTGTTTCAGTTTTCCCTAAATTAAAGGTTCTACAAACAAATCCCAAGCCTAAGAACTATGAAGATGAAGATCAAAGGCACAGATCTGGAAAGGCAAAACAGAAAACAAGAAACAAAGAAAGACGTTTCAGAAACGAAGAACAGAGGTATGGTTCTTAAAAAGCAATACAGAAGTAAAAGGTCAAGAACAGTGGCAAGAAAAGTATTAAAACAGTGCAAGTGTTCAGGATATGAGTAAAATCATGGAAAAGACGCATCCAGATGAATAGTTCAGCAAATCAAAGGTTTGAACAGCGCAATAATGGCAGTAAGTAAACGAAAGCACATAAAAGAAATTGGGAACAAGAGGAACAGAGGCTTACCAGAACAAATGAAGCCGGAATAAAAGGTCGCCGAGGTGAGGCAACGGTTACAGACACGACGGAACGGCGAAAACTTCAAAGGGTGAATGAAGACGGTTGTAGAGCTTGGAGCTAGAGCAATGGTGGATTTGAGAAAGTTTAAGAGAGAGAGAAAGCCAGAAAATCGAAAACAAAAAGTAAAGAGACGAAAAGAAAGAGGGAAAGTTTTGTAACAAACTTGAAACGGCGGCAAAAGCAGGGCATTTATTACGCCTGGAGCAACGCACACGTCAGACGGCGCAGATGGGTGAAATACAGCTTTCAGGCGCATCACAGACACGGGCCAATAAGACTAAAGCACGTGAGGGGAACGGTTGAGGAAAGGTGCATGACAGCTCATGCGCGTGGAGGAGTTTGTTTGAGTTCTTGTTCTTTGATGAAGGCATGTCGGCCTAAAATGAATGATCTCGGCTTAATTCTCACTCATGTGCTATCAAAATATATATATATATATATATAATGAAAAGATTATAATTATTGGATTAGTTTATGTGGAGATATATTTTCTGAGTACCAACACGTGGCAAGGTGACGCCGACGTGTCAGCCGAGGTGCCACGTGTCTTGGTCATTGTGCCGAGGTCATCTCGGCTAGACCGAGGTTATCTCTGAAGACATCGGAATCCGAGGTAAGCGGATAAGGGACAAGAGTCCTAGAATGAAGAGGGAACTCAACTTAGATATGGACAAGAGTCCTAGAGAAAAGAGAAGACTTTTGCTAAGATAAGGATAAAAGCTCTTAGGGAGTTTATCTTTATCTCTTAAAGAGTCCAAAGTTGACATTGAATTGGAGTCCATAAAAGTCAGACTTCTAGTGGGACTTGGATTTAGTAAAACTATAAAAGAGAGGCATCCCCGTGGGTCTAAGGTACGCAGTTTGATACTCAAGCTTGTGAGTTTAGCACTTGATTATGTTTGAGAGATATACTGACTTGATCGTCGGAGTGCCCCCGGGTGGAAGAGCCACCGCTGTAATTTACAAATTTTTTAAAGCTCTTTATTGACTCTTGATACGTATAATTTTTTGTTTATATATTTGTATATATATATATATCTGTGAGGGGTGGTTTCATAATACTCTTTCGCTCCAAACAAACCTTGAAAGATCCTAACCTTGATGCCTGAAACAAGAAAAGTATTTCGATTGGGGGGCCGAAATTAGCACTTCGACGAGTAAGTCAATATCTGGTTGAGAGAAGAAATGTTTTATATTTCTAGTGAATCTCAGTGATCCAAAAAACATACCTTCCTACTTTGAATTGCCCCCTACTATAGAGGTCCTTCCCAAATATTTCTCAAGTAGCTTTCATATTTACCTCATGATCATCACCATACCAGAGCCTGACTTTCTAATACACCACTGGAAAGGGACAGTTTAGGCCCACGTGAAGTGGATTGATACGCCAATCCGACTTCAACATTCAGCATCAATGTTTATAGGCTCAACATCACATGATCGACACACGTTGGTTCACTCGGCGTACAACTACTTAAGCCCAATGGGTCCAAGTTAAATTTGGCTAATTAGTGATGGGCTTGGGTTTGCCCTGTTTACTGATTAAGGAATTTATGTCCTCCGCTCCCACAATATCAAATAATTATCAAGCCTAAACTAACTAGAAAATTAAATTTGTGTCTCAATTGTTTAACGAAGGTAGATGATTATTGTTTCATTCCTAAAGTCTTTCATTACGCTACCAATTGTGAGTATTACATAATATATATATATATATATACTTATTTATTTTATAAAGTAAAAATAGGTAATGAAACTAGAGAATATTACCCATGAGAGCATAGAATCTACTTTGGGACAATCCATTTGGTTACCTATCTCTATCTCTCTTTTATATTAAATTAGATTTAAAATAGTTTTATGTCACATCCGTGCATGCATATATTTAATTCAATTTAAAGAGAATTTGCTTGCTTGAAAGGAAGGGATTCTTGATAGAGAAAGAGATAGATTTCAGGTGATATGCTTCATCTTCTCCAACATTTTTTAGTCAATCAAGTCATTGTTGTGAAAGATTCCGGCAGGATTTTGTGTGTAATATATTAATTATACTTTCAGGGCAATGCATGATCAGATTACTACCTAATCACATATTCATGGAGTCATGTATGTGTATTCCAATTCATGAATGATTTGATTAATAAAGTAATACAGTCACCATTGGTTAAAGCATACCTAACAGACTAATAATAAAATTTATGAATTGTTTATAGAAGGCCAATATATGGATGCTTTTCATGATAATGGTTTTTGTTTTCTCTTTTTCCTTTCTTTTAGTATGTGTAATTTCTTGTCTCACATATATTAAACAATTACTAAATTTGAGCATGGAGTGGCCTTAAAGATTGTGGGTATAAAACTTTTGACTAGTGATTCACTTTTATATGTTTTAAGAAAATTAAATTTGTTGACTTACTTTTTTTTAGTGTAACAACCATACATAAAAAATGATTGGTGTTAATATGTGGACTCCATACTCAAAAGGGAAATGCTAGAGAGCTCTAAATCTAGAGCTCTAATTTGAGCTCTAGTGATGTGTCAAAGCAAAAAAAAAAAAAAAACAAAACAAAACAAGGCACAAACATCACATCAGGGTGGGTCCTACCTTCCCATTAGAGCTATTAGAGCTCTTATATTAGAGCTCTAAAGCATTTTTGTACTCAAAAAGTGTAATGATCTCATCCAAAATCGAAGGTCCCATCATTTTATACCAATCAAAATATGTGTATTGGTTCGATTCCCCACTGGGTGAGTGCCTGCAGCAGTTTGTGCAAGGGTGTCTAGCTTCCCACCGGCTAAATACCCCTCAGGATTAGTCATGGCTTCTCTAAAAATCGGAGGGTTGGGGATACCTGAGTTATCAAAAAAAAAAAAATATGTGTATTGGTTACATACTCAATAAGTGGTTGAATAAAATCAAACTCTATTTGCCTCCAATTGTTCTCTGGTCCATTTGGAAGTCAAGAAATGATTGTATTTTTAATGAGTGCAGCTTTGTGGATCAGATTTGTCTTGTGGATTAAAGCTTCTTCAAAAGGGATTATGTGCTTCGTTAATGACTTCATCAACAACTTGGATCAGATAAAGGAATGCATCTGAGGGTTGC